AATTTGCACATATTATCTGCGTCCTCCTTTGGTTTAGGAATCGAACGCTTCTTCTTGGATCTTCGATGGGTTGTGAGTATGCCTGTATCGAAGTCCATAACCGCTCGGGACTGGCGTAAAATGTCAGCTCCTAACAGTACATCCCAGGCTAGTTCTGGGCACAGCATGAAATTTACCTCCCAGCCGTCATTCCCGATTGAGACTCTGATAGGTTCTTCCTCTACTACCGAAATTTCTTTTCCTTCTGCAGAGTGTAGTCTAGTAGCCGGTGAGGTAATACTGGCCTTGCTGTGGACCATGGGGAAGACTGGTGGATGTAGAAGGGAACGGGCTGCCCCCGAGTCCAAAAGAAATAAGCATGTGTGACCTTCTAGCTTGCCCTGTACACGCATAAAGGTAGAACATCGTGAGGGAGTTAGACAAGCCAAAGAAAATTGTGTTTTACTTTGCGTTGAGGGTCAGCTTCGAAGCACACGCCTTTGCCCGCCAGTAGGCCGTCTGTTGGGAGTCCACGGGCGAATGCGGGTCTTGAACTCGGTTGAGAGTTGTAACGCCTGGTGCTTAGCTAGTGCCGCGTCAATGAGGCGGCTCAATCTACTAGTCCCCATCTGCATTAGTTGTTTTGACAAGGCAGGCAGACGTACACCCCTTTTGAACAGGGCCGCTATCAATGAGGCAACCCGAAGGGGACAACAATCCTTGAATGCCTGCTTGGCTAATGACTGGAGATTCCCCGCAAAGTTATTGTCACTCTCTTTCGGTTTTTGTAGCCAATGAAAAAAGTCAGAAGGCAAAACGTCTTCCTTCTGGAGGGATGTCAATTTGACAAGAAGCTTACAGCAGCCTTCCATACCTGAGGAAAGCGAGACACCCGCATCCACTCCCTCCCGACGTGGGTCGTAGGGCAAGACGCAGAGTAGCAGTGGCAATCTCCGTGCAGGCTCGTAGAGTTCGAGCTCTGCCTTTGTAAAGGATAGCCAGTCATCGAAATCAGTGCCTTCTTCGAAGGGAGGGATGTCGACTGGCTCTGCCACTGGTGTAAGAGTTGCCTGCCTACCCTTTGGCCCCTCAACCTCAGACTTCAAGTGGAAGTTGGTTGCAGACGATTTATTAAGCATTGCTATTAGAAAGGATGAGGAATGGGATACAGATGAGGTGAGTTGGAAATATTAATCGGATTGAAGCTCCTGGCCCACTTCACGCACGAGTATCACGCTTTCCGATTGATTCCCGCCTCTCACCTATAAAAATACACTTAAACTAGCATTAAACAGCGTTCCTCAATCTCATGGTAGCTGTTAACTGGAGCGGCTGGCTTGTGGATGCTTTCTTGTAGTACTGAACATGTTGTTATGGCTGGAGCTAAAGGTGCATAAGGGGACAGTCGAGGAAATAGTTCAAGAGAAGAGAGGGCAATGAAATACTTTGGTTATGTGACCACCTGATATCTGGTTGCCACCTTAAGATTTGTCTTTGTACTTTGTTCTCCATTGACTACTCCTTTTACGCGGTGGAAAGTCGCGGGACACTGCAAACACCAAAATGTTCCTTATTTGTACAGAGACCATCTTATTAGCTTCAGTGTTTCAAGTTGTCTCAGCATCACAGCGGTATGATTTACCTCAACTCCTTTAAAACAAACATGCGCCTTTCTAAAAAAAGCCCTTCAGAATGCAAACGTTACCTTCACGACATTTTACAGCAACCAAAGCCTATCCTTAGAATTATGTGCTAAACTTACAGCGATCATGAACGAATTAATTAATAAGGGGAGGCATTATGCAGGGCTGAATTTATGCATTCTAGGCAAAAAGGGTAGAGATTAAGCTCTAAGTCGGCTAGTAAATCCATCAAATTGCAAAATACAAAGACAAATGCCTAAGTTACCATCAGACATACAGACGGTCGAATAAACAAAGTGATACAAAAACATCCCGCATGTTTTATTTGAAAGCGCGTTTCTTCGGCACTGCAGACGTGCACAGTTATCGGGAGTTACCTTAATTTTCTGCGTCACACACAAGGCAGGCGAATAAAGTGTGAAAAGTGATTTAGTACTTGCATCATACACAAGGCAGAGGTTTAGGGAGACAAAGCTATTCGGATTTTTTTCATTTAAAACACCTTGGTTAAATCTACTGCACATTATGTCGCAACTATGCCTAACAGTACTGCTTCGTAATGCAATATTCTGTATATCTGACTATCTTTATGAATTGTTAGCGTTAGACCTTCGTGTGCGCTTCGATCCATCTCTTTTAAATTAGACATGCTCACTACGTCATGTTACAAAATGGAAAGACGTTGAAATGTTACGCGAATGACTATCGACATCCACTGCCAAGCGCACCGACCTAGTAAGCAATGCAGAATAGGCCTATAAGACCACCAAAAATTGCGCCCACGACAGTGTAGGCCGCAGGCGCCAATCGCTAATAACGCGAAGGTGAAGGCAATCTTGAGCTCTGTAAACCATCACTGCTCAAGTCACTCCCCACCGCAAGGTCGGTTGTACATGCCGTGGTATTTTACTAACCCAAAGGAAAATAAAACTTGCTTCTATATTTAAATAACACTATGATTCTTGAATTTTTTAAGTTTATATTATTATGAAGAGCGCAAGCAAACTGTGCTGCTATAATTAAAAGTTTTATTTCCAAATATGAAAATCGCATTGAAGTGGCTTCAAAATAGTGCAAAATATGATACACATACTTAAACCCATAAGTAGCATGACGTTCCACAAGGGAAACACTCAGTCAAAGCACTACATTGAAGGTCAAAAGAATACAATTCTCAAAAAAAATATAAAATAGTTGACCACAAAGAACGCACTGAAACAAAATGTGCAAAATCGTACTCTTAAGTATTGGCTGTTTAGGTTGATGTTGTACTTTGAATTAGCTAAACTGTTAGCAAATAAATTGGCTAAATTACAGGAAAGAGTCGTTCCACGTTGCGCGTAAAATTAGACTTGAATTTCAAGCAGTGTTAAAGTTATATTTGTCGATAGTACCCCTTAATCCGTTTGCTTCATCAAGGTCCCTTTTGATAATTGCTGCTCAGTAATGGATTAGCTGTGTCGGACAATTTGCATTCCGCTGAAACGTTTATGAATTGTCCGTATGGTAGGTTTTATTTAACCGATATTTAATTACTCACTAGAATAACTGCGTTTGAAAGAGCGGGACATCCAATCGGTAAGCCGTCGCATTTGCTAGGGGTGTTGCGTGCAGTCGCCGGCACGCCCTCAGCCCAGTGGCTCAAACGGCGTTACTGCTTTGTGCAATTCAGTAGGTGACTTCTGGTGCGTACAAATGATGACTTCGTAATTGGTGCCTTGTATTTATATCCTTTGTGCATTAAGTTGCAAAAAAAAATTTCTTTTGAGAAGCGCTATTGCAAATTCTTAAACTAATTTAGAATCTACGAATGCCCGGTCGAACCTTCCGAAGATTGACGAAAATTTTGCTAACCGGTGTAGCGGTAACTGCCGCCCTCTCCGGCACATATGTCGGGACCGACACTTCTAAATCGTTCTATCACGTACTGGCGACATCGTGCACATTGAAAGACTCACTTAAAGCCCAGGTAACACCATGGGACTATAGTTGGGATAATCGTCAGACTAACCATTCGGAGAATTCCGAAAAATCACCGAAGCCGAAGGCTAGTCGTCACATCCTCCTCGTGCGTCACGGCCAATACCACTTCTCTGAAGATGACTCTGAATGCCATCTAACTAATCTAGGACGTCAACAACTAGATCTCACCGGTCGCCGATTAAAACAGCTCAATTTCCCATACACCCATATTTTCTATTCAACAATGACGCGCGCTATCGAATCAACTGACGAAATAATCAAGCACCTCCCAGGGGTTCCTGCGACTCCTTGCGACCTCATCCGCGAGGGCGCTCCTTTCCCCCCAGAGCCGGCGGTCCTCAACTGGCCGCAGGATGGGGCTACAGCTTTTGAAGAGGATGGACCGCGGATAGAGACCGCCTTTGCAAACTACATCCACCGGGCAGAGCCCACTCAAAGCGAGGACTCATATGAGATTTTGGTCTGCCATGGTAATGTTATTCGCTACTTTGTGTGTCGAGCACTTCAGCTACCGCCAGAGGCATGGATCCGAATGTCGCTGGATCATGGAAGCCTCACATGGCTTACTATCCGACCGTCCGGTACCGTTTCCCTTAGGTGGCTTGGCAACTCCGGTCACATGCCCCCCGACAAGCTTAGCCTCAGCTAGAAAAGCACCACAGTTTGTTTCTCCCATCCCAATCTTGCCATTGTTTCGGTCACATGCTTGTAATGATTTTGATAAAGCGCTTGTTCTTTAGATCGGCTCTAAAAATCAGGCTTTGTTTATAAATGCAGACTTTAAAGAATACAGAAACAGAGACTGAATAACACCATAGCTTGCGGAGTAGGTGAAAGCCGGTGAGAAGTCCATATCAATTTGGGAAGTGTAGTTCTATCCAATCCCGTGGAAGTATAGAGATCTGCAGATTTGAAGAGAGAAGCTATTTATCGGGAAGCTCCTTCGCCTTCTGGGTTTCTTCAACATTGGCGATCTTGGCCGTGTTGTGTTCGGGGTCACGGAACTTAGCAAAACTTTCCCACGGAGCCTTGAAATCGAATTTGCGGTACTCCTGCGCCAATTCAACAGGTTCGATGACGACGCGTCTCAACTCCTCATCATAACGCATCTAAAGTAGGATGGAAATAAAACTAGGCATTAAAGCGTCCAATTTCGTAAGTGAAGCGAATACGTGGGAGTGCTTGCTGCTGCAGTGAGATGCGACTTGTTTGCCTTAAAGAAGTGATACAAAACAGGAGGGAGGGCAATTGAGAGTACTGATTTGACGGGAAAGCGGAAGAAAAGGATAAGAATTCGGGGTGCATGTGCGACCTCTGTGTAGCCGCTAAGCGGGAAGTCCTTGCGCTGGGGGTGGCCTCGGAAACCGTAGTCTGTGAGGATGCGGCGCAGATCAGGATGGTCGGAGAAGAAGACGCCATACATGTCCCATACTTCCCGTTCATACCAATTTGCAGCTTGGTACAGATCGCAGATGGAGCTAATTGGTGTCAGCTCATCCGTATAAGTTCTGACACGAACCCTGGAATTGTAACGCAAAGAGAGGAGATTATAGACAACCTCAAATCGGAAGGGTCGAGCCGGGACATCCATGGCTGTTATGTCAATGAGAGCACCAAATTGGGTATTGTGATTGTTGCGAAGGAAGGATATCACCGGGATGATACCGTCCGGGTGGATAAAGACGTCAAGTTCGCGCATGTGACTGACTTCGACTTTTTGAACGAACTTAGGAATCGATTCCGCGACATAAGCCCCTAATCTCGACAATTTTTCCACATAAAGATCCTCTTCTACACAATGAGTGAGACTGCAAAATTATTACTTTTTTCAACCTGAGTGAATCCACGAACATGAATTGGCGATACCCCAGCGACACAAATTGGTCTTAGTAAATCTAGAAAACTCATTACTCCCATACTAACACCCTACTTGAGAACGTTGGAATCGAAAGCCGAAAAAGTTTATCCATAAGTGCGACTTATGGTTATTTAAAGTACAGGCACACCGTGACAAGTTAAGAGCAAGGAGAAATCAGAGAACGGTCTTGCAGTGGTGACATAAATAACATTCGTCATCCAAATGTATTAAACAGCCGTGGTCGAACCGTTTTCTCCGTCGCAGTAATTTTCTCAGATTCGCTAGCAATACCTTTGCGTTAATCATTTTTATTCTTTTTACAAATTTTGTGCAATAATCACAGGTCGTCAATATTTTTCTACTATTACGTTGTTATCGAAGGAGGATCATTGGCCTAAGCTAAGTAATTAACATAGAAAATGGTGATTTTTTAAGCTCATGACTTTTGCAATCAAATGCTAAAATTTGAAAACAATTTACTATAATAAGCTGTCCCCAGTTTTTTCCATATTGAACCGATTGAAACAATCGTTGATCTGCCTCTCGTTGGTTGCGTGTTGTGGCGTGTGACGTATCGAGTGATGCTGTTGGACAACGATACTGTTAGTTTTCCGAACCTAATTTATCTACATAGTTTCTTTCTGTTCTTACCAGGATGTTCGCGGAGTCGAAGTCTGGGAAATCATTATTCATAACAATGAAACGCCGTGAGTGGCATATCGATGGTGTTATCTCGTAGTCATAGTTCGCTATTGTTTTCTGATGAGTCAATGGGAATTCTTGTTCCCACTTTACGCTTACATGTTCGCATCGTCCTTTACTGCTGAATTATTACTGTTTGTTTCTTCGATTTGTTCCATTCCTCTTCTTTATTGCCTTAATTGGATTCTCATTTGTCTCTTTAATCCCTACATTCACTTTAAGACGACGGAAGGACAAAACCCATTCCAAAGAAAAAGGGTAGCCAGGCAGGAAGGGCGGCATCCTCTGGAGACAACTGTTGCCTAATGCGAGTAACATTGGGAAGCAAGAAAATCAGCACTCTTGTAAGTCTGAATGTATCTAAACGTTAGTATATAGGTGTTCGTTCCCTACTTAGTGTCTCATATAACATCGAGACACATCTTAGACCATTCTCAATTTCGGTGATGTGACGATACCGACTACAAGCAAACGAATGATTTTCCTTTGTTTATTGTACCAATAGACTGGTGATAAGCAGTTTTTTTTATTGTATGTAACTCTTTTACTTCATAATAAATTGCTCATTAGGTTTACCAAAGGGATATGAATCGGTTTAATCAGGCTTACGCGAATGTGATTAAGACGAACATTGACGGACTGAAGAAGCGTGACAAGCGATCTGGCGGTGCGGCTGCCAATATAAAAACATTCAACCCATCAAAGCCTACTACTTCATCTAAAATCATTTCCAATAGCCCTCGCACACCATCCGGAGGTGTATGAAGGCTCTGTGCTTCTGCATGTGCGTGAAATCTTAGTTGTTACTGCAATTTTCTTCAATTTTCCATCCTTTGTATATGTTCTTCATTTGGATTCATTTTTCCTTGAGCGATATAAATGTGCTATTTTTAGGCTAGACTTGAATTGTTGGATGAAATTTATCACTTTCGTGGTCGTAGCTCTCATTGGTGCACTAACCTGGAGTAACGTGGTGTCCGAGATCTTCTGCGAACACGACGGGTTTACAGAAGCGGCGGTTGGTTCTATCTCAGAGTCACTACCTGCGTGTGTTTTGCACGAGTGAGGCGGTTTAGATTCCGACGGAAACTTAACCATTGCGTTTAGGGTTTTTTTCGCTTAGTCGTCACTGCCGTGTTTCTCAAAATTTGGGATTTATTCCACTTGGTAATTTTTTAAGTCGGTACGCTGTACACTGTCGTAAATTGTCTGGCCTTTCATGAAGACAGTGAGATAGACTCTGAAAAGGCCATGCGCCTTCTGAAGACTATCACGTTGGTGGACCATGACTTATCGAGAACCGATGATGATCTATGCAATTGTGGGGAATACGATGCGAAATGTTAGATTGATTGTGGCGTCTCAACACTTACATGTACTCCGAAGAGGACAGAGCATATGAGTCTGTGCATGGATCGAGGACTAGTCCACTAGTACAAGGATAAGATAATTCCTAAAGTGGTCGCCGAACGCCAAACTGTCACACAAATAAAACGTTAAACTGCTCCTTACTTTGGGTGGCATCCCCGGTGCTCTCCTTGCTACACCTCCCGCGTCAGCCATCACGTCATATTGGGTACTATAAGAAAGCATTCACGAGACAACCGCGCCAATCGACAGCTACCACCTCGTCAGCTTCAACTGGACCTGAGGTTACGTTCGGCCTGACAACCAGATTCGGAGTCGCATACATCTATTGAGCATCAATCGCTTCCAGGAATAGATGGTGGAACTCTGGTCAAAAAACAATATGGTACAGGGAAAATGGGATGAGCCACTGACCCGTACATAAGGAGAACCGCAATGTCATTTTCGACACCTAGAGACGGATTTTGTAGGGGAAATTTCGACACAACACCCTTTCGTTGTGAGGTCCTCAGAGAGTCTCCGCCCCCGGTACAAATGCGTCTCTTCCCACAAATGGTACGTGCTAGGAAAGGAGTCGTTAACAGAATGTCGAGTTTGCTTTCCATTGCCGCCAGTGTAGCGTCCCGAAACTTCCGACAGGATGGCAGAAAGAAGTAAAAGAGGCTAAATAAATGCATCTCGAAGGGAACGGAAAATATTGGTCTGAGCATGGACCGCAGACCAGCCCACCAGTACAAGGGCCAGATAAATCCTAAAGTTACACAAACAAATTTTGCACTGGTGTTTGGATTTGACTCGGAAAAAGAAGGCATTAGTCTCACCTCGAAGTGAAATCTATTGATCTGACTACTCATGTGCTCATGATGCATGGTCGTGCAGTGTGCCATTTCGACTGAATATTTGACTGACTACTGTGTCAGCGTAATCCGCGTATGCTGTAGACTTCCCCATTTTACACAACTGCGGGAGGTTTTACGTCATCCCATGATTCTGCCGTGCTTTATTGAAGGAACGACAGGTGTAGGCCTATTACATAGAGGCTCCATAGTGAATGTCGGGCAATTTAAATCCATGTAACTGCAAGCTACAACATATGTTATATTTTATACTGAAATTTTAATATTTTCAAAATCGAGTTGATACCTGTGCACTAAGGTATATAAAATTGGCAAAAGATTTGTGAATGTGGCAAAAGTTCTTGTTTGTTAGTATTGATAAACCCGTTCGCGCGCCCACTTTTACCGTTGCTGTCGGGCCGCTTAGTTCTGTAGTTTTCCGGCGATCTTTCCTTCTCTCTAGTATGGAGGAGGTCGATTATTATACAGTATTGAAGATTGATCGAGGCGCTGATGGCGAATCAATCAAGAAGGCGTATAGAAAACTGGCACTAAGGTGGCATCCTGACAAGAACCCTGATAACAAGGAGGAGGCTGAAAGGCAGTTTAAGCTGGTAAGCGAAGCCTACGAAGTGCTTTCAGATCCACAAAAACGGGAAATCTATGACACCTACGGTAAAGAGGGCCTCACCAACGGTGGCGTTGGTCCAAGCGACTTCTCCGCCTTCGGCGGTTTCCCGTTTCATTTCAGAGATCCCATGGAGATATTTGCGCAAGTCTTCGGGTCTTCACTATTTGATGTATTTGGGCCCAATTTTATCACGCCTGGAGTCTCGCGAGCTCATCGTTCTCACGCGGGTTCTCGTGTTCATCGACGTCAAAACCCTTATGAGCCAAGTCGTCGTAACCCTTCATCGTTTCATGACTCAAGAGATATTATGACTCCTGGGGGCTTTGGCGGCGGTTTTTTCGATGACATTTTTGGGGGACTGCTTGGTGGCTTTGGTGGCATGAATGGGTTTTCGTCAGTGTCTTCGTTCAGCAACAGCGGATCGGGTGGTGGAATGGCCAGGTCGATGTCATCGTCCACTCGCATTGTTAACGGTCAAGTTGTCAGTACTACAACAGTTCGCGAAAACAATGTTGAGACAATTACAGAAACGGTGGATGGGCGTGTTGTACGGACAGAAACGAGGCCGTGCGCCAACAATTCATCTATTTACTTGAGTTTCTGAACTTCATTCCACTAGCTGGCCATTTATTGTACAGCGGTATAAACCGACGTGTCTGCTATCATATGACTTTTTTCTTTTAGTCATTTAAGTTGTTTCATGAAAAGTGATTTCGTTTTGTGTGGGGTAATATAAAGTTGCTGATTGTCGATGGTAGTCTCTTGCGGCTTTCTTTGCATCATTTAACGGACTTATGTTTGTACTCTCATTTCCATTCGAACAGATTTCAGGGCTCTTGTCGTAATGGCCGCTTAGGGTGTTTAAAATGTTTTAGGTGTTAGCCGTGGTGTCGGGTTGACTGTACCGAACTATGAGATTGCACATTCGGTTCAGATGATTTGCCTCTATTGTTTGATTTTACGTGGTATCCGCGTAGAGCAGCTTATTGGTGGCGAGTTAGCTTGTACTTACCTGTGTCGTCGCATGCTTTTGTTGCTAAAGGGTGGTAACACGGGATTTGTGCTCTGGCCACAGTGGAAGTTGAGTTAGTCGCACTTCTTGAAATGACCTGAAAATTGAGGGCCGTTTGAGCGCGCATCACAATGTCTGCGCATTCGGAGATTCCGCACCTCTGGCTGACGAGGTCATCGTGGTAGTGCTGCAGGAAAGTGCACTCTATGCTAGACCGTGCCATTTGACCTACACTTCAAGATGTTCGATGCAGATGGTAGGGTTTTGGGGGGTTTTCCGTCTGCAGTCTTACCTCTATTTTTTTCACAGAGAAGGAGGTCTCCTTATTATCAACACTTAGTTAGTAGCTGGTAATGATTTAATGATTAAGGTGATAGTATTGGAGAGCATGTTGCCTTGAATTTGTGGGACTTTTATGGTTATTCCAGTTATATTAGTTCCATCGATGTCAGTGCTTCCGAAACTACCTTCCACCCCTTCCTCTCCTCCCTTACTAGGATTTGGAGAGGAAATTCCCTTGTTGATCCATCACAAAATTGGGAAGACTTCTAAATCAAACATAGCACCAGTGATTCGGTCATGGCTTTATTCTTGCAAGTTGCATTACAAGGATAGCCTCTCTTCGCACTGCATAGGGGGTCGAGTGGCGATGTCCCGTGGGCCAGTGGCTTAGACACTTCTTTCATAACATATTTCTACAATAAAGACCCAAATAAAATTGGTTAGATTACCCCCATAAAGGTTAGTGACGTCTTTACAATTCCCTCGACTTTCCATCATCATCCTCAATCTACTGCTAAATCACTCCTTCAACATTAGCCTCCAACGGATTTGTAGTAGTAAACGCATGTTTAAGGAGGACTCCATTTCTTCCTGACAGTCATTTAAATGGACTCCCTTTCTGTGGCATCCATGCTTGTCACTTAGACTGAGCTCTACGGTGTCTCTCCTTTTCGACTGCTAATCAGTTCAGATGTATTGAGAGGCCTCCAGATACGCAATCCACTAAGATGCAACTGACAGGTGCTTAGTGTTATGAAGATGTAGACCGTGAGAGTTCACTATGAAAAATAGACGAAAAAGAGATTTGTAATGGCCATATCACACAAGCACTAGTGCTTACTACCTTCAGTTTAGGTGTAGCCAAACGGTTCAGTATACGATCACAAGATCCAGGAGAAGAAGAACACCAGCTGAACCATGTGTAAAATCACTACCACCACGTTGTGATCTGGTGTGATCATCTACGAAAACTCATTTGTGTGCTGTTCAGTTGTTAAAGTATTTCTACCAATTATAGATTTTATCAGTTCCAAGGATTTTGGTGCTTATTTTTAGTCACTTACCGACCAGTCGAGCTGCATTTTCCATCATCTTGCAGGTAAATGCAATTGTTAATATCGCTTGAGTTGGGATTTGTTAAACCAGGTTCAAAAAAATTGCATTTTGCCTATCCGGAGTGACAAAAGTGTAACGAAAAATGCAAACCTCCCTTCCTTCTTGATTAATCAATTCCTGATGTGCAAAACACTTCCCCAAGTGTCAAGTTTTGTGATAAACATTTAGGCTACCCTGACTCACTCTCTTCTACTAAAAGTCCTCATCTATCATTTTTATTGATACCATCGCAAGGGAGACGAGCAGCAATGAAAAACTTTAATGCCCCACTAAGTCAAAAGGGGCATATTAGGATTTGCGCATCAACGAAACGTAGTGGCTTCCTTTTTGTGGAGAATTGAAGGCACGACCGTAATATGCGATATCAGACTCGAACTTGTTCCTTGAATACTGCCGTACTTGGCAGTCTTGCATTCACGAGGTGCATAAAATTTCACCATTTTGTCACAGAAGCATATAACAAATTCTACATTTTGACAAAGGCAATGAGGTGAGACGATAACGGGAAATTGTAGCGTCCTACCACAAAGAGAGA